TTATAATGATTGTTTAATTTTTAGGTAGATAAAACTTTGTCTGGTAGGACCACTGGCCCATTTTATACCAAGAGAAGCATTATCCATCTCCAAATTTATATTAGACGATAAACAATTTGAAGGGGTGATTGGAATAAAGCACAAAGTGACTTTTGGAAAACGTTGAGGTACATGTAACCAGCATTGAAATACCTGCCAGCAATTTACACAGTTCATGCAAAAATTGCTGCTAGGTATTTCAATCCTGACTGCCTTAAAATTTTCCAAAAGTCACTTTGGACTTTACTCCAGGTACCCCTACAATTACAATATTTAGAGAGGAAGCCCCATCAGCCTTGACTGGTTTTCATGCTTGTCTTCTTTCCTGGTTGAATTGGAATAGTGAGAGATGATGATTTTTGTGGAGGGAGGAAAACCAGATTACCAGGAGAAAAATCTTCAGAGCAAGGCGAGAACCAACAACAAACTCAAGCCACGTATGGCACTAGGCCAGAATCGAACCTGGGCCAAATTGGTGGGAGGTGAGCACTCTCACCTCTGGGCCATCCCTGCTCCCCTTTGTTCATCTAAGATGATCTATTCAACTAAGGTGGATAAATTATCTACAATGTGGGTAGAAATCCGGTGTTGATCCGTGATCAGTTGATCTGTTGGTCTTGAAGACTTGCTGGCAGATGAATCAGTTGAAGATGAACTACATGTATGTGCTACGGTCATCTTAACACCAGATTTATACCTTGACAAATTATTTACATGTATCTCAGGCAGACAAGGTACCCATCTCAGATGGTAATTTCATCTCACAGGGATAATTCGTTCCTAGTATACATGTGAATTTGCCCAGACTACATATTGTACCACACTATAGAAAATTCACTTAACATTTATGTATACTTTTTGGTTAATCCTGTACATGTAGAGCATCTTGAAAATGTGGACGGCTAACAGCACAGTGGAACATGGCATCCAGTTCAGGCAAACAAGGGTCAAAGGAACTTTTAGTTGTATTTTTAATTGTTAGTTATTGGATTATTGAAATCAAGGTATAGAACTCTAAGATATTCTAGGAAGCCCAAAGAGTCCTTCAGCTGCACTGTAGCTGTGGAACCCAGTGTGTACCATAGATGGTGCACACACTTTGGAAATAAGAACTTTTAGTTTTATGTTGTACAGTACTTTATCATTTGCTTGCAATTATTGTCAGAAAACTTGTCCATGGAAGAAAGAAGGAGATGGCACATACCATTCAATAATTCCTCTTAAGATAACACAATTGCTGTGCAGTTTGGTTTTACATTTGGAATAGGACAAGTAAAACTGGAGAATGCGTGACATGTTCAATTAGGTCACGCTTTCTCCAGCTTTGCTTGCCTCGCCCACAGTTCTAAAAGAGCTCAGTTCTGTAGAAAAGTTATAACAACATGATAATGGTTCAGTGACTTCTCAGTCAAAAACATAGAATGCATGTAAAACGTTTTCAGATCCATTTTCATGTATCCTTGTAGAAAGTTGTGTTAAATTTAAAAACATTTCCAATTTGGTTCCTGAGCTAACCAGCTTTGGAAATATTCTTAGTTAATTTGTTTCCTATGTCAGCTGTCTATAGATAAAATGCTTAATGCTGTCCTTGACTAGCACAATATAGAATGAATATGTTGTTTGAACATTACCGTGTAAAATGCTGTGCAAATTGCAAAATATTTATTGTAACTACAGATTTCCAAGCTTCTAACCCAAGAAATTTTAAGCATTACCATAGAATGTACATGTATTTTCATTTAGAAGGTTTTAATTATTTTAGTGTTTTGCATTAGCGCTACATGCCTTTTCATGAAACTGTCAAGAATGAGGAAGTCAATTTAATGTCTTTGAATAGACACTAGAATGTGAATTAATATTTCAATGAATTTTAGATTGTACCACAATTAGTCATTTGCATGTAAACAATTAGGGATCAGTATTAATAGTATTTTGCTCAGCATGTAAATAACTCATTAAATTAAATTTCAGTAATTCTTCATCTGCAGTGTACACCATATAACAATCGGGATATTAGATACATCTACAATAAGTCACAGTGATGTGATATTTTAACCCGGGGGGGGGGGGGGGGGGGNTAAAAAGGACCCGGGTACTCATCGGAAATTTTGAAAAGAATCCCTAAGAGGTACCAAGATCCTGTTTTGTGGGCGTGGCTTGAAATTATTCTCACCCCTAAGAGGTATCAATTCTAAAACAGCACATTATCTATTGTCATGTTTTTTCAGCTGAAAAGCGTAAAAAGATCGTAAAAGCTCCCGCTGTGGACCTTTTGAGGCTGAACACCCAGAGAGGTACCAAAACCGCTTTTGTAACGCCTAAAAGATTCAAGAAGCACCCCTGTCCTTTATTTATGGGATTTCTTCTCTTCCCCCCTCCCCTGCCCCCCGCCTCTCCCCGGGATTTTAGGTTAGAACTCTAAGGCCTTAGGACTAGAGAGTTGAAAAGACTAGTTGTTGACCGCCATTTTGTTCCCAAGAACAAAAAAGAGGTGCTTGATAGCTAAAAGCCACTGCTTGAAGTTAATAGTGATCAATGATCAACAACTAAAAAGTGTACCTTTAAAAAGGAAAACTGCCTTTAGTCGTTGGTGACAAATGAGGCAGTTTAATTAGTTTTCCCTAGTGAGCGGGACATTTGTTCACTAGCTAAACCATCAGCGTGTTTTTCCATTGACTCCGACGTGTTCAGCAAAAAAAAGTTTAGTCAGGGGTACGTTTTACTTCTAGTGCGTGGAAAAGCTTTTTTGAGCATAAAATCTCATCGACTGTGGTTGTTTTCAACTACACTGTAATTCTCTAGTCTTTTGAGGCCTTTGGAGTTAGCACAGTGTAAAATGTCCGCGTATATCTCTTGCTAGAACTGAACTTAGAGAAGAATGTTTTCAACTGCAACTGACTGCAATAATCTGAATTAACCTGTTCTTGTTTAATTTCTTGCAAGAAAACAGTACCCTGTCGCTTGAGCTTCAATATGATTGTATTTTTTTGGTCGAAACAACTTGTGATTGCTGTCAATCTTGATGATAATAGCAATGATTAAAACCTGAAATCAATATGCAATGTACAATGTACATTGTAATATTTCCTAGCTGCTTTATAGAACATACATTGTAAGGATGTCAGGCAAGAGCCATCTTGTATCTGTTCAAGCATCTTGTACAAAATAGAATAATATGTATTTCACACTAGATATTTAGATGAAGTAATTTTAATTACACTTTACTGGAATAATGTTAGCATCTTTTCGGCATTTACCTGGCCCTCAGGTATGTGAAATAGTCGTACATGTAAATAAATGCAGGAATTTTTAAGCTGAAAGACCAGTTAAGTATGGTTTCTCTAGACACTCACATTTAGTAAGTTCGGTGTAACGACGTATGCTTAATTTAACATGGACAACGTTTAAAAGTTTAGCGGAAGGATTCAGAAATGCATATTAAAACATAGGTTGTCTTGCCTTCAGCCGAGTTAACCTACATACTCACATAATGAGTATGCATTTTCTAGATACAGCTTTAGCACTGACCAAGCTAAGTACTGCTAGTAATAATTCTGCATGATTTCTAGTACGTAGGAATATTTTAACATAATTATAATAAGGGTGTTATTGTTAAGATGAGTTTATGTTCAAACTTTTATATTCGATTTCTTTTGACTTTCAGCATCGGGTTATTTTTGTAAAATATCACAGTCTTGAAACAATTTCGACCTGTGAGAGCGATTTCTATTTATTTTCTTTTTATAATTATTTCCTGTTTCAAGTCATTTTCATTTCTCATTTGGGGGTTGTTTTGTTTTTGTTTTTGTTTTATCTTCTGAGACACAGTATTTAATATATTTTACAATAGCTATGATTAGGATTTACCTTTGTTTTTAGTTTCCTGTAAGTTGGATGCATAATAAAATAGATCAAAGCATTACGTTCATAATATTTGTTAAGGTGTTATAAGGTAGAACTGTCCGCCCACTTCTCGCCCGCCCGCTCTCCCGCCCACCCGTTGCCTGCCTGAAATTAGGGACCTTACGCATATGTAAGACGGCGACGGCCAGGACGACGCCTATTAAAACGTGTTTTTTTTTTATTTTACTTTGGAATTTCGCGTTAACTTAGATCTATTCGGCGTGCTTGTCGGTGTTAAAACTTGCCGCCGCTGAATATGCTACGAATGCGTTCAGTTCCAAATAGAAACACGAAAAATTAGCCGAAGTGGGTCCCATTCAAAAGACGTGGAAATCGGTCTTTTCACGTTGTTGATTTGCGGAGGACGGCAAAGAAATGTACCAAGAATTATAATGCACGTATACAGCCATTGTTATGCTCATTAGATCTTTTTTTTTTTTGGTGACAACTCGT